ACTATGTCTGACAAGCACAATTTGCATGAGCAAGCTTAAAGATACACAATAATGGAAATAGAAGCGGTTCTACTTACATAACGATGAAACAAAGATGTCTGAAGTATTCAATAAAGACCACATATATACTATGCTTGAAAAACGCAACTTGCACAATCAGGCTTAAAAAATGCACAAGAATCCTAGAAAAGTACTTAGTGAAGGCCATACACAAGCAAATTCACAAATACATAAAAACATCCAAAAGCGCAAGCTTTTCAGGAGAATCTCTGGTAAAGTTTGGATTATAGGGTTTTGGGGTATTCCTGGACGAGTAGGAGTCACTTTTTAAGCAAACAATTCTAAGCAATAAATGCTTTTTCTCAAGACAAGTATTGCAAATGCTGCTTCTAGATAATTAATCGCATTTTACCAGGCAAATATTATCCATGCGAATTGAGCTACCAGAGCACCAAGTAATGGCTGAATAAGGCCTACTACACTTGAGTACAACCAAAAGATGCACTAAACACTAGCGGCTCTACTTACATAATAACGAAACAAATAGTTCTGAAGCACTAGAAAGACCACTTGTATACTATTTCTGAAAAGCACAATTAGCATAAGCACACTTAAAAAATGCGTAGTTGTTGCCTCGTGACCGTGAAGGCGAACCAAAAAGCCAAAATACCAAAACCAAAAAAACCAAAAATACCAAAACCAAAAAAAACCAAAAAAAACCAAAACCAAAAAAAAACAAAAAATACCAAAAAAACCAATTTTCCGGGACTCTCAGGAAATCCCTATGAGGCTTCTCCAAGAGTCCCGGAAAATTGGTTTTTTGGTATTTTTGGTTTTTTTGGTTTTGGTTTTTTGGGTTTTTTTGGTTTTGCTTTTTTTTGGTTTTGTTGGTTTTTTTTGGTTTTTTTTGGTTTTGGTTTTTTGGTTTTTTTGGTTTTGGTATTTCTGGTTTTTCCCGAAAGCTTCAGCGAAGGGTTCTTCGGAGAAAAAAAACGTCAACCTACCATCACCACACTACAATCACCACACTCCAATCACCACACTACCATCACCACACTACCATCACCACACTACAATCACCACACTCCAATCTCCACACTACCATCACCACAGTACCATCACATCACTTCCGCTATTAAATTCTCTCTTATTTCTTAGGCTGGGGTGGGTTTCGCCGCGGCTAGCGCGATGCACCCCTCTGCGGGGATCGTGCGTGTCGGAGCGCTCCCGCTGTGCGTTTTTGCGCATTTAGATGTGCGCCCGCGCGCCCTCTGCGGGGATCGTGCGTGTCGGAGCGCTCCCGCTGTGCGTTTTTGCGCATTTAGATGTGCGCCCGCGCGCCCTCTGCGGGGATGGTGCGTGTCGGAGCGCTCCCGCTGTGCGTTTTTGCGCATTTCGATGTGCGCCCGCGCACCCTCTGCGGGGATCGTGCGCGTCGGAGCGCTCCCGCTGTGCGTTTTTGCGCATTTAGATGTGCGCCCGCGCGCCCTCTGCGGGGATCGCGCGTGTCGGAGCGCTCCCGCTGTGCGTTTTTGCGCGTTTCGATGTGCGCCCGTGCACCCTCTGCGGGGATCGTGCGTGTCGGAGCGCTCCCGCTGTGCGTTTTTGCGCATTGTACAACTTGCTTCGCACACCCTCTGCGGGGATCGTGCGTGTCGGAGCGCTCCCGCTGTGCGTTTTTGCGCATTTTTCAACTTGCTTCGCACACCCTCTGCGGGGATCGTGCGTGTCGGAGCGCTCCCGCTGTGCGTTTTTGCGTATTTTCAAGCGTGGTCGTGCACCCTCTGCGGGGATCGTGCGTGTCGGAGCCTTCCTCACCTCTTCCTCTCCTCTTGGCGGATGCCCGGAGCTGCCTCGACTTTTTGTAGTACAAATGTAGTACGCCGCGGACGCCCGGAGCTGCCGTAGCTGGAAAGTCGACTTTTTGTAGTACAAACGTAGTACGCCGCGGACGCCCGGAGCTGCCGTGGCCAAACGTAGTACGCCGCGGACGCCCGGAGCTGCCGTGGCGGGAAAGTCGACTTTTGTAGTAGAAAGTCGACTTTCTGTAGTACAAACGTAGTACGCCGTGGGACTCGAACTCCGCGGTGTCGAAACCCTCGCAAATATCGGCGCGGAACTCTGGGGCTTCGAAAGGGTCGCAAACACCGTGGGCGCGGAACTCTGGGGCGTCGAAAACGTCGCAAATACCGCGGGCGCGGAACTCTGGGGCTTCGAAAGCGTCGCAAAATACCGTGGGCGCGGAACTCTGGGGCTTCGAAAACGTCGCAAATACCGTGGGCGCGGAACTCTGGGGCTTCGAAAACGTCGCAAATACCGTGGGCGCGGAACTCTGGGGCTTCGAAAACGTCGCAAATACGTCGCAAATACCGTGGGCGCGGAACTCTGGGGCTTCGAAAACGTCGCAAATACCGTGGGCGCGGAACTCTGGGGCTTCGAAAACGTCGCAAATACCGTGGGCGCGGAACTCTGGGGCTTCGAAAACCTCACAAACACCGCGGGCGCGGAACTCTGGAGCTTCGAAAACCTCGCAAATACCGTGGGCGCGGAACTCTGGGGCTTCGACAACGTCGCAAATACCGTGGGCGCGGAACTCATGGGGCTTCGAAAACGTCGCAAATACCGTGGGCGCGGAACTCTGGGGCTTCGAAAACCTCCCAAATACCGTGGGCGCGGAACTCCGGGGCTTCGAAAACCTCGCAAACACCGTGGGCGCGGAACTCTGGAGCTTCGAAAACGGCGCAGCAAATAGCGCGACGGCTCTCGTGTGGGCGCGCAATCATTGCGGATGACATCTTGTCCTGCGCTCATGCAGAGCTATGCTTTGATCTGTTCACAACATGGCAGCAGGCACCTCAGGCCATGTGGGACTTTTGCATGCTGGCATGTGTACGTGGTATCACCCCATTGCCGTCATCGCGCTACCATCGCCTCAGCTATACACGGCCTCTCTACACTGCCTATTCTATTCCATCTTCTTTGCGTTTCGCGTCCTTTTCGCTGTCGACGCGACACCTGCTTCCTATCCTACTACACCACACCACGATCACCGCACTGACAACACAACCAACTCTACGTGTCAGTTGATATCTTCGCACTGATTGCTTTCGGGATAATCGGTGTCTAGTTCTACTGTCCCGTGTATGCGATTTTAGTTGTATTTTAGTCTACGCCCTAGGAAATACGCTATATTGCACACCGAGTTTGCTTGCAGTGCAGCTGGGTGACTTGAGACAAGGCGAAAAGGGTAGGTCACTGGGGGGGGGGGGGTACCATATATATATATATATATATACATATGTGTGTGGATGGCTGAAGCATTGGGCGCAAGGAACGCACTCCTGGCAATGGGCACTGGAGAATATTTCTTTACGACCCGTCGGCATACGGGGCACAAAGTAGTTGCAAGTGAGAAGGCTCTCACATCCGCTGCACGCAACCACCTAAACCTCTAAACCGTCCCACCACCGAACTCAAGACTGCAAAAAGACACTGCGTGTCCGGGGCGGGCTGGGCGGGACAGAAAATTTTCTGCCACTAGCATGTTTATTGCATATGAAGTCGCAGCTGTTCAAGAGCATTGATAACACACGCTGTTGCTTGTGTGACAGCTGCTTGAGCACCTGGCAATGCAGATGACGCAGTTCGAAAGCTTTGCATCCAAGAAATCACTTTGAAGGTTTTAGGTGAAAGTCAGACGCTCGAGGTGGCATGAAAATTCTGTCCTCACAAATTTTCAAAACATTTCTCAAACTTTAAAGCGTTAGCAGCCATGCCTGCCGACACGCTCAAAGCTTGAGCAAATGCGCCACCTCGAGCCAAACGTCCACTAGTTTCAAACCCTAAAGGGGGAGGCAGGGACCCAACCCTAAAGGAGAACCCTCAAGGCTTAGGGATGCTCGCAAACTCGGACGTACTTCTTTTCCATGCGGTGACATAGGGATTCGCAACATCCTACGGCTCACACTCCGGGCAGAGTGGATAGTCAAGAATGCTGAAGCATTGGGCGCAAGGAACGCACTCTGGCAATGGGCACTGGAGAATATTTCTTTACGACCCTGTTGTGAGGGTCGGCACACGGGGCACAAAGTAGTTGCAAGTGAGAAGGCTCTCACATCCGCTGCACGCAACCACCTAAACCTCTAAACCGTCCCACCACCCCCTCTTAACCGAACCAAGAGTTTTCATTGGATTCCGCAGTAGGAACTTCGAGGCAGTTGTTCATTGCGTGTGAGGCGTCCGACGCAGGGATCGCCGAACCGTTCACACACAAGTACTGACATTTTCCCGGGAGGGCAAATCGGCTATGTTCGACGGCGACGGTACACGGCTGTACCAACACTTCAGCTCTGCAGCATCTTCAAGTCCCAACAGCAAAGCCACAAGCTTCTTTGCAACCTGGCTGCGACCCCCCCCGAAATCGCCAGGTCACGGGATCCATTGTTGTCAAGAAAACAAACTAGCGGCGAAAAACGAATGATGTCTTTCCACAGGACCATTCCCAGCAACATTGCAAGAAATTCCAGTTCGAAAATTATCGTTTTCTTAACGCTTTCACCCAGAAAATGCCTAACCCTTTTTGGTGCCTCTATTGAAAAGAACCCCAGGCACTTTCCTCGAACGTCAAACAGGACGCCTCCTAAACCTGCAACCCACTGGTCTTGCTGAGGTTCATAGCAAGCGTCTGTAAACATGAAGAAAGGGGAGGCGTGTTTTCCGGACACCTCGTGGGGGCGTCCTGCACGAAGGGCAGCGTTGAACCTGGCGAGGACATCATGCACCGGCCCATCGTCCACAGCATGAGCATGCGCTGTAACGGCCTGGAGACAAAGACGCGCAGCACGTCCGAACAGGAAACTGTCACAGAACTGCATGCGGCCCCTCAAGCGTAGAGCCATGGCGCGAGAAAGCTGAGCACATCACTGATGACTCTCGTCAGCTTCTGAACCCTGGAAGTGGTGATGCCAACTTTCACTAGGCCTTTCCGAGACGACGAGAAATCAAAGGAAACGCCCAAACTCGGTGGACTTCTCGCCACACTCATCAAAACTCCAGCCCAGTAGTTTGAAGAGGGCGACGACCGCCGCATCAGTGTGGCGAACCTCTTGCTCGGACGTTAACGTCACATAATCGTCGAAGAACACCGTCCACATCAGGGACAACGCGGTGCATCCTACCCACCAGATGGCGTGCGCAACACGAAGGAAAGAGTATACGGATCTTGAAGCGATCCGCTTCTGCTTGGTGGGTAAGGGGATTCCAATGGAGAATGTATGCGTGCTTGAGCGAGCTGGGATGGATAGCCAGCTGTCGATAAGCTGAACGAAGATCATACGCCCTCCCCTTCAAGGGCGTTCCGGGAGAGCAACGCATACATTCCAAGGCAGCGCTGGCAATCACGTCTGGTCCGTGTGGTTTCGGGCTTTCATGCACAGTCACTAGATTGTTTACGCCTCCGAAAGACATGTCATCTATAAGCCTGACCTTTGGCCCCTGCTTGAGACCGAACCGGCGACTTAGAAGAGAGTCACAGGAAAGGTCCGAGACTGGTATGGGGCCCCGAATCCAGCCCTTCTCCCTTTCCTCTTGGGTCTTACTATGCACTGTTGTGTCCTCTTCGCCCTGGGGCTTAGCCCTCTCCAGGACCCTTTGCCTCAGGGATTCTGCTGACACATCCACACCGGCGAGGGAGCGATTGGAAGGCTTATAGGTCGGCGGGAAGAGGTTGGTGACGGGCGTGCAACCGGTCAGCTGCACACCTTGGGTGACCTCGTCAAAGACTTGACAGTCGGGGTATTCCAGGTCGCACGTGATCTCTTTCCACAGCAGCAGCCTCTTAGGTGCTAGGATTTTTGATATGTGGTCTGGAAGGGAAGCTTTGAACTCAGCCTCGGCAACCTTCAGCTCCTCTGCTCTGCTAAGCCATTTCTTGCAGAAGCTGGCACGCTGCAAGGCGATTTCACCCGGCCCTGCCTCGGCATTCCTCCTGATGGCCTTCTTCAACTCTTCAGGAAGCACAACCTCATGATCTCGTAGGCCATGTTTGCCCGGGCGACTCGCCGAGCGTCGTGGGGCTGGAGATCGGGAGTCCATCCGGAAAAGTGTCGGATCGCAAGGGTGGAGGGCCGGGATCCCCTGGCAACCGGATGTCACGGGCCCTGGAACACGTGCCACTGGGAGGCGAAAGGTGAGCACCCAGAACATACGGGGAACGCAGCCATTCGAGCGCTAAGGCCTGGTCAGCGGCCTCAGCACTGTCAAGCTTACGAGGATGCGTGGCACAGCCTTCAACGACCTGGTCATTGACAGCCAAAGAACCTGGGGCCCCAAGGGCACGCCAACGTGCGGTGACACGGCCTGTGCCAGCAAGCTCCAAAAACACGGGGAACCGGGGAGGGTGGAGAGGCCCCGCAGTACTCTCACCCGTGGAGTTGCCTGGTAGAGCGAAGCCAAGGCCCTCAAGTGTTGAAACCATGTCCGGCGGTAACAAGTAAGAACCCTTGACAGTGAACCCAACTAAGACAACACGGTCACCGTGCCAAGGCTGGGTGCAATGCCACTGATGAGCATCAAAAGACACAGGGCCAGAGGCCAGGGAAATGATTCGCCCAGGCGGCATGGAAGCAGACGCTGGGCAAGCAACGGAACCAGCGCCAGCGACCCAAAGTCCGCCCCCGCGGAAAGCAGAGCATGGGACGAGTGTGTTAGTGGACGAGGACGCGTTGTTCAAGTCCCGGCGCGGGCCTGGCTGACGGCGAAGCTGGCGAAGGGGCTTCCCCCTCCGCCGACCCCGTTCAGGCCTTGCAGGCCTGGATGACATGGTCCTTGGCGAAACAGCGGGCACAGCCGTGCGCCCTCTTGCAGTCCCGCACCTGGCACTTGCCTAAGTTGTGGGAATAACAGATCTCACTATCGGGCGTGTGACTGTGACCCTTGAGGTCCAGGATGGCTTTTGGAATGTTTGGGCTGCCCTGTTTCCCACGACCACGACCCTTACCCTTGCCTTTAGGCCTGTCCTCAGCGCGGCGGAACTTCGCAGGGTCATTAGGGCGCTTAGGTGGATTAGGGCGCTTAGGGGTCTTGGCAGCGGGTTGATGCATGAGCGCAAAACTCACATGATAACTGGACAATGCATCCAGGAGAGCTTGATCGAGCCGGAACGTGCGGTCTGGAGCACGCTTTCCCTGACGCTCCGTGTGTGTGCTATGCGCTCACTTGGGTAAGTCTGTCCCTGGGACCCACGTGACCAAGTTGCTCCCAGGAGCATACTTAATAGATTCGGGGTTTGTCCGGGCAGCCTGTTAATAGATTTTGGGGGGTCGGATATGGCTCGAAACGTTTTCTTGCGCAGGTGGACGTCCAAAGCCAGCACTGGCCCCTCTTTGGAGACAAGTTGGCAAAACTAATGTGCCTACACTCTGAAAATGGTTAATGTCATTACAATGTGCAGCTCGAGTAGACGAAGCTGGTCAGTCTAATGCGCCCACAGGAGTGTTGACTCCAGGCGGAATGTCAAGTTTCTAGAGCGAGTGTGTGAGCATTGCTGTCCTAACGTCACTTCAGCCTGAGAAGTCACCTTGTATTACAAGAAGTGGCAGGGCGTGTCGTAAATATGCGCATGCTGTGTATTCAAAGTTGTCAGACACAAACCCTAAACCCTAACCCCCTAAACCCTAAACCCCTAATTAACCCCTGAACCGTAAACCCCAGGGGCTGACTTGACTCCCTTGAAACAAAATTATCCTAAAACCTCGCTGGCCTGGCTCCGCTTGCTGCTTCTTTGGCAGGTGCACAGCTGCACGCACGAGGGGGACCTCGCCCTCATAAACCGAAAACCCTACATAAACCCTAAAACCCTTAAATAAACCCTTAAACCCTGAAACCCTTAAGCCCTAAACCCTAAACCTTCTAGATAGCTCGCTTATCATACAGGCCCTACTTGGCACGTGTGGTTTCTTGCAAATAAGGAATACATATATCCCTGGTATTTTAATCTATCTCTATGTATATGTGTGTGTAATATCTATTATAAACAAGTTGCAAGAAACCCTACGTTCCAATTGCTATAGGGTTGAAAAATGGTTTAGTTTAATTGTTTCGTATACGAAGCTAAGCGAAGTGGCACTCGAAACGTATATAGCTAGTGTAACGTGGGATCATGGTCCGAGGCTTTTTAAGTTTTCGTGCATGGATCCTTGCTCTCCATGATTGCCGCCCGAGCTGATCGAGCACTGCCTGCTTTAGTTGCCAGATTCTCAGATAGGTGCATGTGACTCAAGTTTGGCCGAGCGAAATTTTGAATAGCAAAACTGGCTAATAAGCTGCGAACCATATACCAGGTGCAGTCTCCACTTGCACTGCGCCACGTGGGCCATGCAGAATGCCAGGGCATACAGCCAGGGCCTTATTGTTCCAATTCGTCATGTCAGCAGTCGACCCCAACCCAGGGCCTTATTGTTCCAATTCGTCATGTCAGCAGTCGACCCCAACCCAGGGCCCGGTAGAAAGTCCTCTTGCAAGGTCGCTTTGGACATTTATATGCCCCAACGTCGACAACGGCAAGCTCAAGCAGGAACCGGAGGCTGCATGATTCGATTCGCATTTTCCAAACTTCCATCCATGCACGTGTAGCAGCATGTAATTCCGTCCCATCTGCTACAAGATCTGCTAAGAAAGTAATACGAGTGTCTGCGCAACGAACGTTATTAGGTTAGATATCGATGTTCAAAGTACTGTTGCAGGGCAGAATCCAGATCCAGATCCAGATCTCCTCCGGCAAGGCCAGCTGGAAATCAGACATGCAAGTCCCGATGACCCTGTAAAACCCCGATCAGCAGCTAGGGAGAGTGATGTTGATATCGGCAAAGCATCATGATCACCAGTGCATATATATATATATAGAGAGAGAGAGAGATATCTATATGTAAATATGTATATATGTATATATATATATGTGTCTGTGCGAGTGATATGTGAAACTTTGAGCTGCAGCTAGCTACTGTGCTACTCGGCCAGGCCACATGGATCAAGATCGGCGCCTGCGGCTGTCGATGTGACAGAGTCTGGCCATGGTGCGCCCACCCCCTGCCCCCTCCGGCCCTCGATAAGTTTGAAAAAATAGGGCGTCGACGTACGTGAGAGTTGCACCTGCGTTTCTGCCTCCTACGCTGGCATCACAGCTATCGAAGCATAGCGGACTTCGTTCTGGTTTCTATAAGCTATGCATGGGGCTTGATGTCGATCGAATTCGAATGTTCTGATATATCTTGGGTGGTGTGTTTTTCGGTGCTGTATATGGATATATTAGCGAGGGGGGGCCATCGACTTCGCGGAGCCATGGCACACATCGTGGCTCACAATGGCATTGAAGCCAGAGCTCTGCTACAGGACTTACCAGAGTATTACTAGCACTGAGTACCTTGCAACCCTCACAAACCTTATATACCTAAAATCATTCGAGCAGGAACTCCTCAAGGCCTTCATTGTTGAGGACGAGAAGGTGCTCTGCATGCTTCGCAAAACCCAGGCCAGTGTAATTTCTAAACATTGTGGGCGCTTGGTGTTCTGGGCTGGTAATACACAACAAGTTCTTCAAATAAATGAGTAAATACATGGGGTTTAGGGTTTAAGGGTTTAAGGTTTTAAGGGTTTAAGGGTATAAATAAGGGTTTAAGGGTTTAGGGTTTAGGGTTTAGGGTGTTTCTATATATCTACGTATTACATATACATATATATATATATGTGGCTGATACCTTTAGGGTTCTTTTTGCTTAGTTTTCATGGGCAGTACTATAAAACAAAGCAAAACTTATTGTTCATGCTCGCACTGAAGCTACACAATGCATATCAGAAGGTTCCAGACATCTACGGCAGCATGTAAACCGACAGCCCCACATATGCGATACTGGCCAACAGAAACATGCAACAATGACAACCACAGCACCAGATGCCTTTCATCGGACGCAGAATCTCAGCAAGACCCGCTTCGTCATCGGTTTCTAAGCAGCTTGCGCGCAGCAAGCAACTGGAGGCTCGGGTCCATATGACCTCATGCCCCTTCCATTCAACCCGACTTCGCACGCTGCTCCTTTGACGTAAACAGCCTCTCTAAGCCCATCAAAACCAAAAATCTCAATAATGCTACTGTCCACCAGGAAGACGTCAGCTGTGCAAACTTGCCAGCTGCTACATGTACAACTCGACCTGAACAATTTCAACTACATCCTCCAAAGCCGTACTAACCCCAAACCACCTTTCTACAACTTAACATAACCCTTCAAGGGAGCACACGCAAACACAGCTACGGACTCAGATGCCACTTCGATACTGCCAGCGCCGTTGGTTTGTCCTGCGAAGGCAGCTTGAAGACCCAAGTTAGGAACACATGGGACAAATGTAGGACGCAACGTTCGAGACTTCAAGTTGTAACATTGAACGTTCATACTTTCTTTGGTTTTACTCTTGAAGCTCAGAGCTTCTTTGTGACGCATATCCTCCAGGGTGTCGACCAGTAGCGCTGCCTCTTCTCTGCCTCGGCGAGATTTGGGTCTCACTTTCTAAGATACTATCATCCAATTCACAAAGCCATGCCCAATATTTGATTGTACCAAATCCCTCTATCACGAAAGCCGTAAGCTCTGAAGCCCGATATTTTGTTTTGTAAAGCTGAGCCATCCGCATCTTGCTTCTCCTCATCCGTAAGATCCTCCCATCGTCTCTTCCTAGGGGTCGCACATGCAATCACGAGGACTGTTCCTCCAATGCAATGCGGGGGATCCAGTGATTCAGTGATTCGGCGATTCAGTGATTCATGTTGCATGGACGCTAGTGCTCATACCGGGGGAACGAGGATATGTCCACAGACATCGTACAGTTGCGGCGGCCAGCGGAAGTTCAGGGTTTAGTGGTCCCAGCAAGAGCCTTGCATGGGTTCACAGTTCAGGGTTAGCTACCACTTCATCTAGGCAAACAATATGTGACTCTCTAAATTTCATCATATACACTAGAGAAACATCATGAACTCCTCGTCTACTTCTGTTCTACAGAAATACCACACGCTGAGACAGCTGCCTTGGCAGCAGCCACTTAGGGTGGATCTTCGACAGGTCGACTGGCTCCTCATCATACGCAGCAGTTAGGCGTGACTCAGGTCTGGGGTTTCTATGCTTGTTGTCAGGCTCTGGCCGCCTCTTCGAAGACGTGCACCTCGCCCTCCTCCGCCTGGCGAGGGGTTAGTATTCATGCGAGGAGATGCTGAGAGCGAAACTGCCTCCAGGTCCCGCATCTCCTCTTCGCCCTGTCAGGCGAGTTCATGCTGTTGTCGGCTAGACTTTACTTTCTTGCGTGGGCCATGATGACCGAGGCTATGGCCTCTTCGTCGAAGACGTGCGTTTCGCCCTCTTCCGCCTGGCTGCGGGTTAATATTCATGCGAGGAGTGCTCAGGGCGAAACTGCCTCCAGGCCCCGCATCTCCTCTTCGCCCTATCAGGCGAGTTCATGTTGTTGCCAGCTAGGCTTTGCTTTCTTGCATAGGTCATGATGACCGAGACTATGGCCTCTTCTTCGAAGACGTGCTTTTCGCCCTCTTCCGCCTGGCGGCGGGTTAATATTTACGCTAGG